GGGTATAGTCAGACATATGACATCGATTATGATGAGACTTTTACACCAGTGACGAAGATGAGCACTGTTCGGACCTTAATCTCTCTGGCAGTAAATGGTGCATGGAAGCTATACCAACTAGATGTGAAGAATGTATTTCTTCATGGAGATCTAGTGGAGAAGGTATACATGTAGATCCCACCAAGATTCGATACAAATCAGACAGTGGGCAAGGTCTGCAGATTGAAGAAGTCTCTCTATGGGCTAAAACAGTCTCCTCGTGCTTGGTTTGACAGATTCAGAAGGGCTATGATTGGTATGGTGTACCAGCAGATCAACGCCGACCATACCGTGTTCTTTCGACGGAGTGGAGGCCACATTACCATACTTGCGATATATGTGGATGATATGATTATTACAGGGGATGATGAGAAGGAGATTGCCCAACTCAAAATGAGACTGGGTAAGGAATTCGAGGTGAAAGATCTTGGCTTGCTTCGATACTTTCTTGGAATAGAGATAGCTTGAGGAGCGGAGGGGATTGTCCTATCCCAAAGAAAGTATGCACTGGATCTTCTCAAAGAGACAGGGATATTAGGGTGCAAACCTGCAACTACACCGATCGACCAGAAGTTCAAGCTAGGTGCTGAGGCTGGAGAACCAGTTGATCGTGACAGATACCAGAGGCTGGTGGGAAGGTTGATCTATTTGAGTCACACACGTCCTGATATCTCTTTTGCAATAAGCGTGGTGAGTCGCTACATGCATGATCCGAGGAAGGGTCATATGGACGCAGTGTACCAGATTCTGAGGTATTTGAAGAGTGCCCCGGGAAAAGGACTGATATTCAGGAAAAATGAACACGCGAGCATTGAGGGTTACTGTGACTCTGATTGGGCTAGCTGTGCTGATGATAGGAGATCCACCTCAGGATACTGTATATTTATAGAAGGCAACTTGATCTCGTGGAAGAGCAAGAAGCAGTCAGTGGTGGCGAGATCGACAGCTGAGGTAGAGTATAGAGCTATAGCCTTGGGAGTTGCGGAGTTGTTGTGGCTGAAGAATATGTTGGTGGAACTGAAGCTGGATCAAGGAGCCAAGATGAAGTTGTGGTGTGATAACAAGTCAGCCATCAGTATCGCCAACAACCCAGTACAGCATGATAGAACCAAACACATCGAGATCGATAGGTTCTTCATCAAAGAGAAGTTGGACAGTGGACTACTAGAGTTAAGTCATGTTCTAACTAAGGACCAGGCAGCTGATTGTCTGACTAAGAGACTTAGTTCAGTAGATATGATTAAAGGATGTGACAAGATGAGCTTAGTGGATATCTTTCGCCCATCTTGAGGAGGAGTGTTGACATATTAGTAATAAGTAGGGGGTTATATGTAAGTTGTGAGTGTAGGGGCCTATATAAGCCCATGTTATCTCAGTAATAAATCAAGGGTTTCAGTTCTTCAATTATATTCCATTTATCTTCAATTATGTTTGGTGAAACTAAGAGAATGGAGTTTTATTGATTTCAGTCTTAATTATTGTCTTTTTTTTTGAGTAACCAGTCTTAATTATTGTCTCTATCACATCCCGGGCCCACGAGCCCGTTGGTGTAATATAAGCCCAGGACCCACTAAGTGCAATATATTTTTTGGCTTGTTCAACTGCCAAATATTGCTAGCAATTATTACAACTTGAATCTAAGAGCACACATTTAAACCACTCAATGCCTCTATCATTACTCGATATGGGACTATTATTGGGGATATATGTTACCCACGTCCTTCTATCATGAAGTCATACCCTTACTCGACATGTATGCGACACTTATTCATGGACACTCCTTAGATGTATGCATACATGGACTCAGACATGTGCTAAATTATACGATATATGTTTCAATTTAAAATTTAAAATAATTGTCATACACTTCTTGGACGTATATTTTACACTTCATGTCCATTTTTTGAAACCTGTTAGACATGGATCCAATTGTTTTAGCCTGTATCCAAGTTAAAAGCTATGATTTAAAGGAGTGTTTTGAGTGTTAAAAACAAGCAGTTTCCAATTTATTATAATCAACATAATAAAATAAAGTTTAAAATATAATAGGAAATTGTTAGAATATAAAACTATAACCCTTAAGCTTTAACATAACTTCAGACTTTTGATATAATGGTTAGAGAGACTTCCACAAAAATTAAATTCAAATAGCACATGAATTGAAAATAATAATGATCTCATGTAAATTACTAATTTCGATATATAAGAGTAGTCGTGTCCTCATACCCTACATTTCACAAATTTACCGTGTCTCGTATTTGTGCTCGCAACCGTGCCCATACCTGTACTTGTTTCCATGCAACTTAGTTGGGGATGGATCATTGTCATAATGTGATGAGGACGTCTCATATTTAAGGTGGGGTGATTGTGATATCCAAAGATTTAGTCCGACATTGGATATTGCCTGAGTGATTGGTTGAGTTATGAAGTCCAAGAAGTCAAGTGCAACATTGGCTAGTCAATTTTTGCAATGGTTTGAGCCAAACGTGCTACACTTAGTGGGTTCCACAGCTTACATCGGGCCACTGGGCTCGCAGGCTCGGAGCGTCTCAAATGGTATTAGAGCAGTTAATTTGTCAGAAATGTGAAGCTAAGTGCTATGTGAGACTAAGTGCTACACTGTGCGAGTGCAGTGAAAACCACCTCTAGAAGCTGTAGGAGTCACCTCTACATCACATAATTAGGGTGAGTTAATTGTGATACCCCTAAGACGTCGCATAATTAGGGTGAGTTGATTGTGGATATATTGGGATGGTCAATTGTCATACCGTGACAAAGACGTCGCATAATTAGGGTGAGTTAATTGTGATACCCTAAGATTTAGTCCCACATCGGATATTAATTGAGTGATTGAATGGTTTATAATGTAATTCAAGGAGTCAAGTACAACATTAACTAGTTAATTTTAGCGATTGAGTGAGCCAAACCATGTGTTGCACTCAGTCAATCCTACGGGTTACATCGTCCGAACAGGCTTGTGGGGCCACGGCATGACAGTTTCTGACTTATGAAGTCAAATTACAATATCGCACAACGGCTTTAATAAAAAAGGCTACCCTTCATCCAACTGTGCATCACTCTAAATAAAGTGGCTCATGTATTCCATTCTCCTTGAAAAACAATTGGACAATGGTACTGGACTCTAGTAGAATAATCACTCGATAGGAATTCCTACTCAATATAGAAAAGAAACTCAATTTTGAAGATGTGGTTCAT